TCCTTCCACCTCAACCTTCCAAGTAGCTGGAACTACAGGTGCGCGCTACCACACCCGGCTAGTTTTTGATTTATTTTAGAGACGAGGTTTCACCAAGTTGCCCAGGTGGGTCTTGAACCCGCGGGCTCAGGCAATCCACTCGCTTCGGCCTCCCAAAGTGCTAGGATTAAAGACTGAGCCACCGAGCCCGGCCTGTTTTTATTTTTTTTGAGTTGGAGTCTCACTCCATCTCCCAGACTGGAGCGCAGTGGCGGCTCCCGGCCACCACAACCTCGACCTGCCGGCTCTGGCGATCCTTCTGCCTCAGCTTTCCAAGTAGCCGGAACTACAGACGCACACCACCACGCCCAGCTATTTTTTTTTTTAATTTATTGTAGAGACAAGGTCTCCCCAAGTTGTCCGGGTGGGTCTCAAACCAGCGGGCTCAGGCAATCCACTCTCCCTGGCCTCCCAAAGTTCTGGGATTACAGGCTTAGCCAGCGAGTCCAGCCTAGAAATTTTTTAAAAATGGAGTATGAGTACAGTTTGATACACTTTGTTAACACACACACACACACACACACACACACACACACACACACAGAGACACTCACACACAGGAAACGATCACCATGACGAAGGTGATGACTGTCTAACAATGCCTGGAAGTCTTTGTATTCCCTCCCTCCCTCTACTTGGCCCTAGACATTTGCTCATCTGTTTCTGTCGCTGTAGATTCATTGGCATTTTTTAGATTTTTATATAAATGGGATCATATAGCAGGTACTTTTTCTGTCTTTTTTTTTCACTCGGCATAATTACTTTGAGATCCATTCCTGAGTCCTTTATTCCTTTTTGTGGACGAGTAATATTCTGCTGTGTGGTTATTCCACAGTAGGTTTGTCCTATCCATCACGCTTGTTTACAGACACTGGGCTGTTTCTAGTTTGGTGCTGTCAACAATAAAGTTGCCATGATCGTTTAAAAAAATGGGGTTTTAGCTAGGCCTGGTAGCGCGCACCTGTAGTTCCAGCTACTTGGAAGGCTGAGGTGGAAGGTTTGCCGGAGCCCAGCAGGTCGAGGCTGCAGTGACCGGGAGTGACCACTGCACTCCAGTCTGGGTGACAGAGAGACTCCAACTCAAAAAAAAAAATGGGGTTTGAGAGACTGAGCATGCAAGCACCATGTGTGACAACAGAACTGACCGCAGCTTCCTCGTGGCCAGGCCGCAGCCTCTGCAGGGCAGGCTGCACCGGGACCGTGGGTGACCGCAGCACGCCCGGGTCGGGTCAGCTCCCCTGCCGACCACATGGGACACCCTGCTTCCAGCTAGCCCCCCTGCGCCTCCTGCATCCGCATCAGAGCCCAATGATGCCCACCCTCCCTGCTCTGCTGCCCGCCTGGAGCTAGGGAAGGCCACCTCCAAGCAGCGGCCTCCGTGCGAGGCCTTCCTCGTTTCCCTGAGTGTGGGTGAGAACAGGTCTGCAAAGAATGATAGGTGCTTAAGGAAGTGAGCAAATCAAGCTGACATCCCTGGCATTGGTTCAACTAAAAAATAAAACCAAATTCTGAGCAGTACTGCCTTAAGCACTAATGAAAGGAGGGATCCTGGGAAACTTAGAATAAACTCAGCAGAGCCTCAGCAGAGCCATTTTGCATAGACTGACACGCTTTGAGTCTAGCACAGGTTAGACGTGGACAGATAAACTTGCCATAGGCAGGTTCTAGGAGGTGCTCGGACATCTCACTGCAGGCCAAGCTGGCGACCCGCCCCCTCCCCTTGGCAAATCTCCAACAGACTCAAGACAAGGGCAGCCCACCATTCACTTCATGGTTTAGCCTCGCCTCTAGGAAACGTTCGGGCGGCCTGCCAGCTCCGGAGGTGCTGCGCCTCCCTCGCCTCTCCCTCTCTGTCCCTCCTCCCCCATCCATACCCCGACAGTGAGGGTGGATGGCCAGGCCAGGGGAGGCGCAGCACCAGCAACCCAGAGATCAGAGTCATGCAAGGAATTGCAACACACAAAGAACTAAGGAAATAAAAGTTTATTTAGAAGTAAATTAAGCCGGGCTTGGTGGCTCAGCCTGTCATCCCGCGCCTTGGGAGGCCGAGGTGAGTGGATTGCCTGAGCCCGCGGGTTCGAGACCCGCCCGGGCAACTTGGCGAGACCTCATCTCTACAATAAATCAGAAAAATCAGCTGGGCATGGTAGCGCATGCCTGTAATTCCGGCTACTTGGAAGGCTCAGGCAGAAGGATCGCCAGAGCTCAGCAGGTCGAGGCTGCGGTGGCCGGGAGCGGCCACTGGGCGACAGAGTGAGACTCCAACTCAAAAAAAAAAAAAAAAAAAAAAGCATTTTTAAAACCAGCCGAATCCACAGAGACAGGAAGTAGATTAGCAGTTGCCTGGGGCTGAGGGCAGGAACAAGTTTGGCGACAGCTGGGCCTTCGGGCCTTTCCGAGGCGATGAAAACGTTCCAAGTACCGTCATGGAGGTAGCTTGGAGGTCGCTACACGGTCTGCACATTCCTAGAAATCACCGAATTGTCACTGGAAGCGGCACATTTTATGTGTAAATTGTACCTTAACAAGGCTGCTAAGTAAAGAAGAAAAACAGCGGCCACAGAGATACACAGCAGTTCCGCCCCCTTGGCGCACGGCGTGGACCACGCCTGACAGGGCGGTGGCACCGGCTGGGGCGTGAGAGGCCGCGGCCAGCTCACGGTCGCTCATCACTGTCGTTCACCTCCCTGCACCTGCTTCATACATTCAGCGCCGCCATGGCCAGGTGCAGATTCAGTGCACAGAGCGCTGGACGATATTCACGCTCTTGGGCCGCTCAGAGTGTAGCGCCCCATGGGGTGAGGGCTGCACGTCTTCTGGCAGAAGCAAGAGTGCCCCACGGTGACCGGCTCGGCCCTGCTCTGGCTCGGCCCCAAGGGTCGCTGTCCCCCCGTTGCTTCTGGAGCCCTACGGCCCAGGCCTTGAGAACACGCTTCCTGCACCAGGACCCAGGCCCCCTGGCCACACAGGGGAGCTCAGGATGTCCTCTGCCACAGGTCAGCACTGGCCCTGCCCGAGTGAGCCAGCCCCTCCACCCCCGCCCCAGCCCCACGGGGACCAAGTGTGGGAGCCTCGGGAACACAGCCAGGGCCCGCACCTGCCAGGAGAGCAGCCAGGAGGCCCGAGTGGTGGCGGCGGCCACATCAAGGCACAACACACGGGGTGGATTTTCTCTTAGGGATTTATTAAGGCATTGAGCACAGTGTGATTTTTAGCCAACTGCGTGAATCCAGGGCTGTGCACCAGGACCTGAGGGTGTGCTCTCACGCTCCTGGTGCGGGTGGCAGCTGAGGGCCTAGGCCTGGCGGCATCTGCCTGTGCAGTGGGTGCTTGGCGCCTGCGCTCCTCAGGAGGCTGGGCCCCTGGCTCCTGGAGAGCAGCCTGAAGGTCTCCCCTTTGGTCCCCACAAACGCACGGCCTGAGACGCCCACCTGGCGCCAAGTGGTGGGGACAAGCCTGGCCTGCACAGCTGCAAGAGTGCGGCCTGTGCCTGCGGCTCGGGGTGCAGAGGCGGAGGCGAGAGGGCAGGTCTGAGCCTCTAGCACTACAAGGTGGGCCCGCTGGGCGGGGGAGGTGGGAGCAGTCGGCCTCTTCCGGGCCCCCGGCGGGTGCTGCCTGGGCTCCGGTGACAGTGTCCACCTCGGCCTTCTTTCCTGGCCCCACACGCTGCCCCGGAGAGCAGGAAGGGGAGCCTGGGGACAGCGGCGAGCGAGGGGGCGCGGTCTCAGCGGCGGCCACAGGTTAGCCCGAAGCTCCCGGAGGCTCGTAGTCACTGGAGGTGCTGACCTGCCTCTCCACTTTCTTGTGGTCCTTGATCTTGAGGCCAATGTCCACCCTCTTCTCGAAGAAGTTCACCAGCACGGACTCCGTGAGGACAGAGGCCAGGACCTGCTCAAAGGAGATGCACCAGTCGGCGTCGACCGAGCCCCCGCTGCGTGTGGGGCTGCGGGCCTCCCCACCCACTAGCACCGTGTCGTCCGGCAGGTCCTCGCACGGCAGGGAGCCCACGCTGACCACCGAGTATGAGGACACGGACACATCGTCTTTGGTGTCATCGTCAGACAGCAGCTGGGGGGGCGAGCCCTGGCCCTCGCCGCTGCCGCCGTCCACCACCGCCTGGCTATCCTGTGGCGCCCTCCCCAGGTGCGTGTCGCCGCCGCCCTGGGCCTGGAGATCCCCTGTGGCCGGAGGGAGCAGCTCCGGGGCCGCGGCAGGCTGGGCTTCGGGCGTCGGGGGCCTGTCCTGCTCGGGGACGCCGTCCTGGGGCTTGCGGCCCGCCCGGGCCGAGAACTTCTTCCCCACCTCGCCGATGCGCAGCAGGAGGCTGGCCACTGTGGCGATGGCGTGGTACAGCTCCTGCTCCAGGGCGTCCTCGCCGAACATGTTGTACAGCGTCTTGCACAGCTCGATGAACTGCTCCTGGGGGGGAAGTGGAGTGGGGCAGGAACAGGGTGACACGCGGGCGGCAGCTGCCGTGCCTACCAGGCGGACGGACGGAGCAGCCAGGCTGGCCCAGGCCCCGGGAACAGCGACGCGGCCAGGGCCACACCGCCTTCCCAGCCTTCCTCTCCAGAACCTTCCACGGCACACGGGGACACGCTCAGCCCAGGCTCCCTCCGTTTCTCCGCCCACTTCATCAGCAAGAGATTGGCTTCTACCGCGACTCTCCAAACCTGGTCACTGTGAGGCCCCCGCTGTGTTTTGAGCCTGTAGCCTTTTGTATCTTTTTTTGAGTTGGAGTCTCACTCTGCCGCCCAGACTGGAGTGCAGTGGCCGCTCCCACCGCCGCCTCCACCTGCTGGGTGCCGGCGATCCTTCCGCCTCAGCCTTCCAGCTACAGCCTTCCAAGTAGCTGGAACAACAGGCGCGCGCTACCACGCCCAGCTGATTTTTGATTTATTGTAGAGATGAGGTCTCAGCCAAGTTGCAGGCGGGTCTCGAACCCGCGGGCTCAGGCAACCCACTCACCTCAGCCTCCCAAAGGCCTTTTATATCTTTAATCAGAAGTGACTTCAACCCTTCCCTTCACTGAGACCCTTCAGGGCATGGGGGCGGTAAGTGCAGCCTGGGTCAGCTCTGATGGAGTGGGGTGGGGGGAAGGAGGGAGGGGAGGTCGTCCGTCCTTAAACCATACTTCCAGGCCTCCATCCGGGGAGGATAGAGCCTCGTTCCCAGGGCCAGTGGGTGAGGAAGAGGAGGGTGCCCCTCTGGGCACCAGCAGGCAGGTTGGCCAGGGACCCCCTCTGGGCACTGCTGGGTGGGTCTGGCCCAGCCAGGCCAGGATGTGTCTCCTCTGGCTGGGGCCTGCAACCTGCACCCAGGGCCTGCCCCTGCCTTGCTGGGAGACCTGGGACAGGACGCCAAGCTCCCAACCCGAGAGGCCAGTGAGTGAAGGTGGGCCTGCAGCGCGGAGGGCGGCAGGATCTGAGTCTCTGGCCACTGGAGGCCAGCCTTCCCAGGGCTGCTCTGGCCATGGATGCTGGCTCGCTCTAAGCTGCTGCCACCTTGGAAGCACCCCTGGGCAAGACCCTGGCACAAGGGCCCTGTCTTTCTGGAATCGTCACTGACTGGCTCTCGAGGCACGGAGGAGGGCTCCCACCTGCGGGAGTTGCTGGAGCAAGGGGCGGGGCGCCGGCGGCCCTTCAGCCCTGTCGTGGGCAGACCCTGGGCTCCGACGGCGCCTACCTGGTTCATCCTGGGAAGGTCCTTGATCGTCTCCCCCTGAGCCTCCTTCTCCTTGGCCCACATCCGGAGGTAGTGCCGGTAGTCCGGAGGGCTGGTCCCCTTCTCCTCTGAGTCAGGAGAGAAAGAAGGGCTGGGGGCAGGGCGCAGCGGGCGGGGTCCCTGGACTGCTGGTGGCGGGAGATGCCCAGCACACTGTGAGTCTCCCTCAACCCACTCAAGAGGTGGGACTGAAGCTGGAGACGATGGCCTCGCCTGCCCTCCGGAGGACGGCGCAGACGGCAGGGGCCGGGAAGAAGGCCGGCAGGAATGCGGGTGCGGGGCGGAGGGGCAGGGCTGGGGCTGGCAGGGACAGGGCCTCCGGGGGCCGGCGGCCATGTGCCTCGAGGGCAGCTTCCCGGGGCTGGGGCTCCTCCACGGTGCCTGGCATGAGGGCACTCACGCCACCCGGGGTCTCCAGCACCATCGAGCACGGCCCGTACCTCCTCCTTTCTCTCGGGCGTCCTCATTTCTGCTGCCTTCTCGCCTCTCCTGTGGCGAAGTTTCTGGACAAGCGGAGAAGAAAAAAGAGCATGAGAGCTTCCTTCTGCTGTGACCCCAACACCCCAGGGTCCTTGAGGCCTCTGGGGCTCGGCTGAGCCAGCCCTGGTTGGATCCTGGGCAGACAGCCCCTGCTCCCTGCCCGCTACCTTATCCTGCACACAGCACCATGGGAGGGCCTGGCCACTTGCATGCTGGCCACACTGAGGCGGAACGCCACTGGGCTGTCCTGCCTCTGTTCCAGGGACCACGCGTTTCACCACGCATCTCTGAAGGTATCGAGGTGCATTACCCACAGGTCAGGAACTAACAAACTCTGCAGTTCCTGCTGGCAAAGGTCCCGTCAGGACCCTTACTACGGTTCCCATGCCTGCCGCGAGTTCACAGGGCGGTGTGCAGTGCCGCACCTCTGAGGGCCACACTGCTGGGGCTGGCACACGTGCCCTGCACATGCATGCACACGGGGAGGTGCAGGCGCTGCCTCCTGGGACGGTCCCTGAGGCAGCATGGCCAGTGGGGCTCCTCAGCTCAGCCGCCTGACCTGGCTGGCGGGGGCATGACAGGTGGCTCTCCTGGCTCAGGACTCCTGCCCTGGGCACGGGGCTCGGCACGGCCTCTCCCAGAGCCCAAAGCACTATGCTGCCCAGGCCCAGGCACAGCAGAAGGTGACCTGCTTGTGTCAGTCCCTTAAGCTCACGGCCACCTGACAGTGTCTGAGTCAGGAACCAACAAACTCGGCAGTTCCTGCTGGCAAAGGCCCGTCAGGCAGGCACCTTGACGCACACGGGTTCTCACCTCCCCTTGGGGCGGTGCCTCGGTGTGCCACCCCACATATCCAGGGTACGCTGCGTCAGTGAGCGCCCTGCATGTCGGCCGCTCCCTTGTCCAGTCCCAAGGCCCCGAACGCCCGCTGCCTTGGTCAGACACTCCCGGCAAGCGCTGCCCTCAGCCAGGAGTGAGTCTGCGCAGGCAGCAGCATGCGCATTCCACTGACGAGAAAACGAGGCAGGACTCGTGCACCCCAGCCTCAGACCCACCCCGTGCTCTTCCTTCCCATGAACGCGAGAGCGTGCCTGCATCCGTGCCGGCAGCAGTGAGCCTGGCTGCTCGGGGCCCAGTGCTGTGTCCTCGCCACTGGCCACCCGCAGGCCCGGTGCTGCCCTCTCTCTCAGGGCAGGAGGGGCTCGGCTCCGGGCCCTTCTCAGAGCTCAGGCTTCCTGACTATGAAGGCGCGCCAGAAGAGGTCGCCTGCCTCGGGACTGACCTTGAGCCTCCCAGGGCGGGGAAAGATCCAGGTCTGAGGCCAGAGGAGATGCTGAGAGACAGCGGAGAGAAGCAGAGGGCGGGGCGGGTCCAGGAGGCAGAGAGAGAGAGAGAGAACATCCACAGGCGCTCAGCCCAGAGCACGGCCGGGCTGCCCCCACAAGCTCCGGGAGTGCCCCACACAGCCTGTGAGCCGGGCCCAGCAGGATGGGGGCCAGCGTGCCGCAGGCGCTCACCTTCTGAGGAGCTGCCCTCCGTGAAGTAATGGGCCGCCTCCAGGGCTGACTCTGCTTCCTCCGGGCTCAGGGCTGGAGAGGGAAGAAGGGAGTGAGGCCAGGGGGTAGGGGCTTCCCTCCGGGAGGGGCTCCTGGTCCCGGGCGGGGGCTGTGCCTCCCCACTGTGGGCCACCTGTCCCGCGCCCACAGTCGGTTCCGGTGACGTGTTGCTTCCCTGACCTTTACATGGAGCTCAAAAACGAAACACACATCCCGGGTAAGAGTCGATTAGCACCACTGGGGACCCAGGGAACAGCGGCACCCTCCCGTGCTGGTGATGCATGGCGGAGCCTCCCACAGGCGTGTCAAGACCAGGGGCTGTCCCGCATGGGGACAAGGTGGCTTTGCCCTGGCAGTCTGGCTGGAGCCAACTATTGCACCCAGGGCTGTGGGTCATGTGGTCCCGGTGGCTCACTGCCCAGTGTCCAGAGCAGATGCAGTGAGAAGGGTCCCATGGTGCAGGCTGCGGGGCGGCCAGGTGGGCCGAAGAGCTGGGGCGCGGCGGGCGGCCCATGAGCCCTCACCCATGCCGCAGGCCCAGGTGAGACCGAGGTGTCAGGAGCCTTTTCTGCTCGGGGGCCCATGGCAGTCGCCCAGGGCAGGTCACGGCTCTAGTCCACAGGCCGTTTGGTGACTCTTGGGGGGAGCCGCAAACTCGGTCTCCCAAAACCACTAGGGGCCAGCGCTGAGAGCCCCTCTGATATCATCCTGCACAGGACTGCAGGGTCAGGACAGGCTCACCTTGGCCAGAGCATCTGAGCGAGGCTTCCGCCCGCCTGAGCCTAGCTTCCTCGGTGATAACTCAAGACAGTTCCCTTCCTCCTAAGGACCCATGGGCCCATAAGCCCTTCCCGGCTCAGCTGGCCCTCACCCTCACTGGGGTCCCGCGAGGCTCCAGCACTGCCTGGAGAGGTCAGAGCCAAGGGCCCCTCCTGGTGCCGACAGGTCCCTGGGGAGCCTAGTAGTACCCGCCCCCCCAGATCCTCTGGGAACCACGGGATAAGCCCTTCAGAGACCAGAAAGACTTGCAGGGCAAGGCATCTCGGGCCGACCCTGAATCTCCATTCACGCATCTCTTGTGGTTTTGGGGTCGAGCCGCTTGTTCCCAGATGTCCGGGCACCCTGGCTTTCCCTCACGCCCCTTCCCAGACCGCAGCTCTGCTCGGACCCTGGCCGGGCTCTGCCCCGTCCTCCCTCTCCCCACTGTGGGCCTCCATGGGGGCCTGCATCCACACCTTGGTACGCTATGTCTGAACTGGGGAAAAGCACCAGACCCTGGCTGCGGAGTGGGCAGGGCTCTCACCTGGGGGGGCTCTTGCCTGGAGGAGAGGAAGACTCACGCCCGGGGGGTGGTTTCATCTGGGGGGGGCTCTGAAGCTCAGACAAGGGGAGGCTCTCACCTGAGGGTTTCACGCCTGAGGGGAGGTTTTCACCTGGGAGGGGTCCTCATGAGGGGGCTTGCACCTGGCAGGAGACTCTTACCTGGGGGCCCCTCATGGGAGTACTCATACCTCAGGGGAGGCGTTCACCTGGGGGGTGCTCGTATGTGAGGGGGGTTTGCACCTGGGGGGAGGCTCTCACCTGGCGGGAGGTGCAGCTTGTAGAGCAACTTGAGCTTCTCCGTCAGGTCCCCGTGGTACATCCCGCCTGGAGGAAAGCCGGGGAGGGGGTGCTGGTGAGATGGCTTCTGGGGTGCACGGGGGACCCTCCTCAGAGCCCGCACTGCCCAACTCCCTCCCTGAGGGCCACGGAGTCCCAGGCCTGAGTCCCTGGAGCCCAGCCAGGACAGCTCCGCCTTTGTCAAGGACGGGAGACCTGGCCTCCAGGACCCGGCTGTGGTGTGCACCCTGGGGCCCACTTGTCTCCAGTGGGCTGACTGCTGTTCCCTCATGGAGGCCCAAGGCTCAGGGCCACCCTCGCTGGCAGAGGAGACAGCTGGGGAGGCTGGGGGTGCAGCTGGGAGGTCAGCCTGGCCACAGGCACTCACTCATGCCCATCACGAATTCCTTGAAATTGATCAGTGAGTCCCTGTTCTGGTCCAGCAGCCGAAACACGCGCCCGGCCAGCACCGGTGTGTGGGAGCCACAGGCCCAGGGCGTCAGGCTGGCGAAGAGCTCGCGGAACTGGCTGGCGCCAATGCGGTACTGCTCCAGGTAGGGCAGGCTGGGATCCCGGCGGCTGGCGGCTGAGCTGCTGCCGCCCCAATACTGGCTGGCCAGGGGCTTGGCCTGTGGGGACAGGCTGGTAAGGCGGCCGGTCACTGGCTGCAGCCGAGAGGACCCCAGGCTGGCGGGCATGCCCCTGCCTTCTGCCACACCTGCACTCACAGAACCCTCGGCTGGAAGCCGCGGCCCCTCTTAACAGGCCGGGAACACAAGATAGCACTCAGCAGCCTCCAGAGCAGTGCTGGTGCAATGGCCACCCTACAGACAACAGCGCCATGTGGCTGTGCACCCAATGTGGCTGGGGCAGGTAGACCCTGCAGCTGCTGCCTCCTCATCGGCACCCTGCCCCCTTCTCTTGTTACCAGTACCTCAGGGTTCCTGGCAGAGCCCCTCTGGTCCCACCCACAGGTGACTGGCCCTGTCCCCAGGGCACGAAACCTCATGTGGCCCAGCAGCCAACACCATCCTGTACCATCATACCTAACCTGGCTCAAGTCGATGATCAACCCTGGTCTTTCGCTAAAACCACCTGGAGAGAAAAATTCTCTTTCTGCTGTGGTTGCCAAGGATAGGATAGTTCTGGAGCAGCTGACAGCAGGAGGGGCCGCCAGGGGACACAGAGGTGGGGAGGCTGACAGCACATCTGAGCGCCTGGATCCCACCTCGCTGAAGCCCTGCATGCCTAGACTTTTCTGCGACACGAGCCGATGCACACCCTCTTCTGCGCAGGCTGACTTGGGGTCTTCTGATATCTAAAAGAGCATCCTGCCTAAATTCCCAGGAGGATTCGGCTCTGCCACACGGGTCCACGGTAACTGCATCTGAGGGTGCACCTGGATGGGTACGGGTCCCGCCCTGGCTCTGGGCTGTCACCTTAAACACCGTGTAAAGGTCCTCCAGTTCTTCGGCGGAGAAGCCAATGTCCACGGGTATAGCACGGACCTGGGGAAAGGGAAGCCGGCTGTACCCACGGGTGCCCACCTCCTGCTGCACGACTGGGTGGCTAGGAGGGACACTCATGGGCTCCAGGGTGAAGGCATGAGCAGTCCTCTTGCCAGCCGGCCCATGTGATGGGGTCCACTCAGGATGTGCGCACAATTCACACGCTCGTCCCTGACCCCGTGGCTGAACACCCGGGTTGCTTATTTAGCTCCTGTTGTCTGAATCTCTGCAAAGACCGTGGAGGCGCCTCTGAGACCTGGCCGTCCATGCTCCTTTCTTTTTTCAGATTTCTTTTTTTTTTTGAGTTGGAGTCTCACTGTCACCCAGACTGGAGTGCAGTGGCCGCTCCTGGCCACCGCAGCCTCGACCCGCTGGGCTCCGGCGATCCTTCCGCCTCAGCCTTCCGAGTAGCCGGAATTACAGGCATGCGCTACCACGCCCGGCTGATTTTTTGATTTATTGTAGAGATGAGGTCTCGCTGCCCAGGCGGGTCTCGAACACACGGGCTCAGGCAATCCACTCACCTCAGCCTCCCAAAGGCGTGGGATTACAGGCTGAGCCACCGAGCCCAGCTAGTTTGCTTTTTTGGCAGAGACAAATCTTGCTCTATTGCCTAGGCTGGTCTCAAATTCCTGGGCTCAAGTGATCCTCCTGCCGCAGCCTCTCAAAGTGCTGAGCTTATAGGCGTGAGCCACCATGTCCAGCTAGATTCTTCTTTTACTTTAATCGGCTGCAATCAGGTGACTTCTGTTGCTTGTGAGCAAGGCACCTTCACTGTCCCACAGGCCCTCTGAAGGGGGCAGGGATATGGAGACAATGGAGGAAGTCCCCGCCTCTGGAGGCAGAAACTACAAACAGTCCTGGCAGTACCAGGTGGCAGGACAGCCTAACCCCTTCAGACAGGAGGACGAAGGCTTCCTTGGGGAAGACACGGGTATAGAGGGGTTGAGTGTCGCTACCCAGCCAGGACAGGGAACACACAGAAGAGTCAGGCCAGAGTGCTTGGCCCTGAGGGCGATCGGCCTTCAGGGTGTGAGTGTCGGAGAAGCCACCCACAGGCCCATCCATGAGCAGGAAAAGATGATGAGGGCCCCTCCGCGCCCCCCACATTGCACCCACCGCACCCCAGGACCCGACGCAGATCCTGCCCACGATGGAGACCTGAGGCGGCCCGCCCACCTGCCCCGTCCCGCCCACGCACCACACTCCTCTTGGCGGTGTCCTCCAGGGACTGGATCACTTTCAGTCTCTGCCTGAACCGCATCTGCTCGATGTCCTCAGCCCGCAGGCTGCTGAATTTCTGTGGGCCAGAGGGGACCCTGTGAGGCCCGCCAGCCGAGCCAGTCCCACCCAGGAGCCAACCCCTCGGAGCGCTGACCTCATAGGAGACTTTCAGGAGGTCAAAGATGTCCACCTCCGTGGGGGGCTCATCTCCGCTGGTCAGCAGGGCATGGAGGTGGGGGATGGGAGGGGAAACACTCTGCTTATTGACCACATGATCCAAATATCTGCAAAGGTCAGAGGACGGCAGTGTAGACCGCACAGCCGTAGGTGCCCCTTCCCACAGATGAGTGCTGGAGAGGCCAGACCTGCACATCCCGGCCAAGGCCGTGTCGGGGTGTGGCTCTGAGGCAGAGTTGTGCCTGGCAGGCCCCAGTAATTCGGGGAGCTCTGAGGCCCCCTGGAGGCAGCTGAGGGGCATCCCAGCAGGTACCCTCCATAGCCCAGACCCCACACAGCCGGAGGGGCAACATGCTTCCTCGCCTGGCAGGTCACTGGGGTGGAGGAACCCCTGTCCCGGCCAGGAGGAGCTGGGATCAAAGGGTTGAGTCCCAGGAGGAAGTCAGGGAGGACACCTGGCGCGTGTCTGTGGGGACTCAGGACACAGTCCTGGGGACGGGCCCTGCTCTGACCAGTAGGCTTCACCTGCCAAGGCTTCCTGCCCTCCTAGGCCCGCCTGAGTTCAGGGCGGAGAAGTGGCTTGACCCCACCCCCGCTGACCTGGCTCCACCCCAAATCAGACCCTGTTCCTGAGGAGGCCCAATCTGTCTGTCTTAGGAGATGGGTGTGACACAGGTTCTGGTCCCTAGCAGGTATCTTGATGTCAGTGAGGACCAAAAGTGCCACAGCCTGGACAAGGGAGGCGCCACCCTGCCAGGCCCACAGGGTCCCGGCCAGCCCCTGGCAGGCTCAGCAGGCATGTGGCAGCATCCTGGGCTGTCCCCGGGGGTTGGAAGCATTCCAGGCCAGGCAACTCGCCCGCGTGGTGTGGGCAGGACAGAGCACACCAAGCTCAGGGCGTGGGCTACAGAGAGGCCGGGCTGGCATCTCACACGCCTCCCCTGCACAGGGGCTGACTGGTATGGGGACCTCCCTGCCCCAGGGAAGGGACAAGCTCAGGTCTGGTCAGGGAGCTCTGTGGATGCCAGCAGGTACAAGACCAGAGCAGGCAAACCGAGCAGGCCCAGGCCCAATGAGTGGGTTTCGAGGACTGCGGTGGGGGGGCTGAGATTCTGGGAGGAACCGAGGGCATGACTGGCCAGACCCAGTTCGTTCACAGCTGTTCCAGGAAGCCAGAGCAGCCTGCTTCCCTCGGGGGACCAACAGCTGAGTCACAGCATTTGGGAAGGACCAGTTCGTGGAAAGAGGGGCGTCCGGCTTCTGTCAGAGACAGCCCTGCTGTGCCAGCTGGCTCCTGACCACCACCCAGTGCTGTCACACTCGTATCTCGGCTCAGCACCCACGGTGGGAAGCCTCCCTAACCTCACGTCTGAGTGGCAGGCCTGCGGTGTGCCCAGCCTGCTGCCTGGCCTCATTTTCTCCAGCCCCCATCATGTCCATGCTACCTGGCCTCCCGCTAGAAGGGAAGCCGGCTCCTGACCCCAGAGCACCACGTCCAGCCATGGCCTGGCCAGCCCCTGGGCGCCGACTGCGCGGCGCGGGCTGGCGAATGGAGGCTCTTCCATGAGCCCCGGGCAGGAGGAGTGGACGTCACCTGCCCAGCACGGTCATGGCCTCGCCCTCGTCGCTGCAGCCCAGCAGCTGCTCCGTGTTGGCATCCAGGACGGCCAGGGCCACCTGCAGGATCACCTTGATGCCCTCGTAGAAGAAGCAGTCGACGACGACCACGGCACTCTCGAAGGGCATGACGCTGAGAAAGAGCGTCAGGAACCAGGACAGCGAGATGCTGGAGATCACACCCAGGTCTTGCATCTTCTCCGAGAGCTGCGGCAGGAGGTCCCTTGTGAGCTCCTCAAAGATGCCTTGGTCCACCAGGGCCCCTGTGCACAGGACGAAGGGGCCAGTGGTGAGCTCACACTGTGGCCTTGGGCCCTTGCAGGGAGCCAGCCCTGGGCACGGAAGCCCGCTGGCCCGCCTCACCCTCATATAGTGAGGCCTGAGGGGTGCAGGCGGTGGGAGCCGACAAGGAAACAAAGGCCCCACGGCATCCCCCGATGGCAGTGAAGAGGCTGCGCCTCCCACCTGCCTCCCTGAGGGTTCTTCTGGGGGAACACTGACCTCTCCCTAAAAGACTCAGCCGTGAACGGCGGCCTAGGTGGCTTCTGCATCCTGTCCTGACTTCTGAACAACGCAGCTCTGAGGGACCCAAGGGTGGTAACACCACACGCCACAAAGAGGGAAGGATGGCTCAGAGCGGCGGTCTTAAATATGCAGCCCCTGGATGCATGGGGAAGTCCGTTTCGTCAAGAACAGATTTAACTGGATGTGAGTTTATAGCAGGTGAAGCTGGGCAACGTACAAGGGGTCTGCTACACTCCAGCTTAGACGCTTGGAATTTCCCATAACAAAAACACTTAAGTTGGATGGATGGGAATTCAGGCTCCGGGTGGGCATTTGTTTGTTTATTTAGAGTCACCCAGGCTGGAGTGTAGTGGCAGTATTATGGCTTACTGTAGCCTTGGCCTCCTGGGCTCAGGTGATCCTTCTGCCTCAGCCTTTTGAGTAGCCAGGCCTACAGGTGTGTGCCACCATGCCCACCCCATTAAAAAAATTTTTTTGGCAAAGATGAAGTCTTGTTATGTTGTCCAGGCTGGTCTCAAACCGCTCCTGCCTTGGACGCCCAAAATGCTGGGACGATGGGTGTGGAACAACCCTGCCCGGGCAGACTTTCAAAGCCACTGTGCAGTGTCCTCGGATGCCCACGGACATCAGCTCCTAGGGACCCCGTGAGTCTGGGTGGGAGTCCAGGTGAGGAGGTTGATGGCTGGGCTCTGTGACTGGCCCTCTGCTTGGCGGGCTGGCGTGTCTCGAGACCTGCTCTGAGTCTGCAGCGGCAGGTCAGCCATGAGGCCCTTGGGCCTACCTGGGAAGTGTTCGGCGTGGAGCCTGCCCCGGGCAGGGCGGCCACCCCCCGGGAGCTGTGGCCAGGCCGGGACACTCACCCACCACCCTGGTGTTGTAGTAGTCTGGCAGCATGCGCTCACAGAGGGCCACCAGGAGCCAGAAGGCCTCTTCCTCACTGCCGTAGAGCAGCAGCACCGACGTCACAATGTTCATCGCCTGCGGCACAGACAGCGCTGCTGCCCAGCAGGTACAGCCGCCCCCGCCCGCAGGGCCCATGGCCTCTGTCAGAGGGCAAGCCCACCCCTTCTGAGGGGGCCTGGCGCTCGGCCCTGAGATCGTGCCAGCCCCAGTCTGAGAAACATGCCAAGAGGCAACTTTCAGGAATTAATGTGACAGAAAGCCTGTCACTCCTTCAACCAGGCCGAAAGGCACCGGGAAACGAGAGGGTGATGTCTGAACAGCACACTTAGGAGAGGCATCTGGTATCACGGAGGGACAGAGGGCCACACTGACACATGGGGAGTGCATGGCCGGAGCCCCATGCCCAGGCCACAGACACCCACGCGGTGCCAGGGATGTGTGGCAGACTGGCCCACATGGCCTCAGTGGTAATGAGACTTAGGGTGAAGCGTCCGTGAGATTTAAAATCAGAAGCTGCCGGGAATGCGCATAGAAAGCCAAGTGAGACATACCCCCTCCCATCCATCACTACCGACACAACAGCGAGTGTAACAAGAGCTGGCAAGGACGGGTGGATGCAGAACCCACGTGAATTGCTGGTAGGGACTGAAAATCCTGCAGCTGCTGTGGAGGAAGCATGGAGGTTCCTCGAAAACTAAAAAGCAGAATAATGACCGCACAGCCTGGCAAGTCCACGTTGGGATACACACCCCAGACTGACAGCCGGGGCTCAGACAGACGTCTGCACGGCAGGCTCACCGCAGCCACAGGGCAGACACAACCCAAGTGTCACCAAGGATGGTGGAGGGACAGGCGGGAGCATCCCCACCACGGAGCATGCCTCAGCCCCCAAACAGAAAGGGGCTCTGGCACAGGCCCCCACACAGGCGACCCTGGAGACATAGGCCACGGGAAACAAGCCAGGCCAGAAGAGCAAACACGGGTGGGCCTACCCGGGACAACTGGGTCACCAAATCCGCAGACAGGAAGTGACCAGGGAGGGGCTCGTATAAGGGGCAGTTTCTGTTTTGCAAACAGAAAGTGCTCTGGAGACGATGGTAATGACGGCTACACAACAATGTGAATATACTTAATGCCACCGAGCTTTACCCTTAAAAGCGGCTGGCTGGGCATGCTGGCTCATGCCTATAATCCCAGCACTTTGGGAGGCGGAGGTGAGAGGATGGCCTGAGCACAGGGGTTTGAGACCGGCCTGGGCAACTTGGCGAGACCTCATCTCTATGATAAATCAAAAAATGAGCTGGGTGTGATGGTGCCCACCTGTAGTTGCAGCTACTTGGAAGGCTGAGGCGGAAGGATCACCCAAGCCCAGGTCGAGGCTGCCGTGAGCGTGCCACGCACTCCAGCCTGGGCAACGACTTGAGACTCTGATTCCAAAAAAAGGTTAAGAAGGCCTGGGTGTAGTGGCTCACACCTGTAATCCCAGCCCTTTAGGAGGCAGAGTTCGAGGCCACCCTGGGCAACTTAGTCAGACCAAGACCGCACCTCTATTTTTAATAACTAAGCAAGATGAAGCCGGACGGTTTTATGCTTTGCATGTTTTATCAACACGAGATGACCCGATGCTGTCTGACCTGGTCAGGAGCACGTGGAAGGCCTCATGCTGCATGGGCCAAGAGGATGGTCCACACTGCGTCCACAGTCGATGAGGTTTCAAAATCCCGTCTCGTTCCGTGGGGGCTCCCTCCTGGGGCCCCCCGCGGGGAGACGCCGTGCCCACCCCCAGGCCTCACCTGACAGTAGCCAATGGTGGGATTCCGGAAGGCATAGGCGGTCAGCACCCGCCGCAGCGCGGCGATCCCCAGCTCGTTCTGGAAGGCGGGGTGCTCGGGCATGGAGCGGTGCAGGTCGCGCTCAATCTCCTCTGTGGCCAGGCTGTACCGCCCCTTGGACTCCTCCACCAGCCTGGCGTAGTAGCCGGGGTGGGTCACCATCTCGTTCCAGGCCCCTGAGGAGACAGGGCAGCCGCCCCTCTGCTCATCCCAGTGCTCTGGGGCAGCAACGGGCAGCAGGAGACATGGGCGCCCCAAGGAGGGGTGGGGCTTCGGGCTAATCACGAGGGGTTGGCAGTTTCCCTTGCGACTGCTCTTTTTCTGCTATCCTTGTTACTATTATTGCTTTTTAAGTTATAGAGTCTCACTCTGCCGTCCATGCTGGAGTGTGGTGGCAAACTCATGGCCACCGCAGCCTCAACCTACTGGGCCCAGGTGAGCCTTCCACTTCGGCCTCCCGAGGAGCTAGAACCACGGGTGTGTGCCGCTATGCCCAGCTCATTTTTTAAAATGACTTATTGTAGGGATGAGGTCTCACCAAGTTGCCCTGGTTGGTCTCGAACCCCTAGGTTCAGGCCATCTGCTTGCCTTTGCCTCCCAAAGTGCTGGGATTACAGGCATGAGCCGCCATGTGAAGCTGATTTTAAAATTTTTGTGTAGAGATGAAGTCTTGCCATGTGGCCCAGGCTCGGATCAAACTCCAAGCAACCCTCCTGTCTCAGCCTCCCAAAGCACTGGGATGACAGGCCTGAGCCACACTGCCCGACCTTGCTCCCGCTCTTTGGGGGGTCACTTTGCCTAGGATGAGTGAACGGGTGACTTGTCCTCACAAGGTGGTCCGCGGGGCCAGGGTGTGAACGTCTTCAGACCCTGCTCCCAGGAGGGGAGGTGTCCAGGGGGCCTGCCTCCCGCCCCCCGCGGGGAGGCGCTGCCGCCTGCGGGCGCCCCGCCCAGGACCTTGGCGCCCAGGTGGCCGGGCCGCTCACCAGAGAGGAGGAGCCACAGCTCGCCGCGCAGGCTCTCGGGGATGCCCCTGAGGACCAGCTCCCGCGTCTGGGCCGTGCGGTACATGCACACGCCCCGGCCGTACTCGAGGAAGTGGATGTTCCACGATTCTTCCTTCATCCTCTCCCTGGCCTGGGGCAGCGAGGGGCAGCTGTGGCCTCCCGACAGACCCTCTCCTCGGGGCTTAGGGTCGGGGACTGGGGCCGGGACTCCGAGCTGGGGGCTCGGGGACACAGGATGGGTCCTAGGCTTGGGGTTACAGGGCCAGGGCTCAGGACCGGGGACTTGGGGCTCGGGGGCTCAGGGTTCAAGGCTTGGGGCCTGGGACTCGGGTCGGGACTCCAGGCTTGGGGCTTGGGAACTCAGGGCTCAGGGTTTGGGGCTCGGGCCAGGGGTCAGGGGTCAGGGTTCCGGGCTCAGGGCGTGGGGCGTGGGCTCACCCCCTTGGCACCGAGGTCCTCCACGGGTGAGTTCCCCTGGAAGAGCTTGAGCAGGCCCTGGGACGAGGTGGGCGCCTCCTGTGCACCGAAGCCCGGGTGGCCGCCCGGGGGAGAGTCAGGGCTGGCAGGGAGCTCCGTCACCATCTCAGGAGCTAGGGGGGACTAGAAAATACAACAGGGAAGGGGACACCCTGACCACCAGGCCGCTGAGACGTGGACATGCACCGAGAAAGAGTCTGGGGCAGACGGTGCAGGGCAAGAGCCTGGTCTGGCCAACAGGAGGCCATGGCCCCGTCAGCCCGCAGTCTCTTGGGCCCCTGGATGGCTACGCTGTCCTGCAGCCAAAGCCCCCACCTGGAGAGTCACACGGCCTTGGGGACGTGGGCTCTAGGCTCATCCTGCCGGACCATCTTTGTGAAGTCAGGACATTGAGGAGAAACCCTTTTTTTTCTTTTTTGAGTTGGAGTCTCACTCTGTCACCCAGACTGGAGTGCAGTGGCCGTTCCCGGCACCGCACCTCTCCTGCTGGGCGCCGGCAATCTTTCCGCCTCAGCCTTCCAAGGAGCTGGAACTACAGGCGTGCGCTACCATGCCCGGCTAGTTTTTGATTTATTGTAGAGATGAGGTCTTGCCAAGTTG